AAAAAGAGCAGCAAAAGAAAAAGACTAGAAGCGAAGACAAGAAGGTGTAGCTTCGCCTTCTATCACAAGAAAAACCAAAAAGGTTGCAAGATGCACGAGTCACGATCCAAGAATGTTCATCCTTGGGATGTTGTGCCGATGAGGGATGAAAAAGTTAGTAGATGATAGTGCCACCTCATTCCATGGAAAACAAAAGGAATGAAGCACCACACCAGGTTGAAGTTAAGAGAGATGAGCAGCAGGATAAAAGTTCGCATATTTCCTGATGTGGGGAGAATCCTGCACCTTTCTCTCGTTGTTTCGAATCGAAGCTTTGAAAAGGGGAGCCTTGGCGTAACTGGTAAAGTTGCTGCCATGCGACCTTATGATCGCAGGTGTGGACCATAGGGAAAGAAGTAAAGAAAAGAAAGAATCAGAATGAACGAAGATGAAATGCGTACAGTTTTTGTTCACTAGAATAGCCTCATATTTATAGAAAGGCGACGGCAGTTCGGCGGCGCTAGTGGCCGACCAACACTGGCACGCATTTGATGTTTTGGGGAAGAGCGCCGGCGTGACATTTCTGGTCATTTCAAGCACCTACGTCAGGGCATGAAGTCATCATGAGAAGCTCGGGGAAATCGAGGTGCAAATCGTTTCTTATCATCTTATTCTAAAAAACGCGAGGACTATCTGTATACGGTCAAAATCATATGCCCCCGATTTATAAGCTCGAGGTTCCGCCCTAGGCCCAAGTCCGGGAGAGATCAAGTTCGAAACCGGTGGACTAGACTGGAGCTCGAAGACAGAGTGTAATGCCCGGAGACAGGAGTTCGAGGAATACCGAGGCCAAGTGTGCTCGACCCCGAAATAGTGACGTTGTGGATTTGTAACAGAATGAGCTAGATTCCTGCCACGTCCCTAAGATCATGGCGCAAATCCCGGAATAAGATCATACAATTCCGTACTAGGCGGTTAGATAGCCGTAACAAGAATATTCCCTACTATAAATAGAAATATTCCTTATTTAGGGTTCCCCTATTATAAAAAGGGGAACCCCAATCATTTGTAAGCCCCATCTGGTCACTGTGAAAAGAATATACTCTACTTTTTCGCCAGCTTTTCATCAGCATTGTCCTTTAGCTCTATTGTTCTTACTTTGCTTTTATTATTGTTCTTATTATACCAAGCTTACCTCGAGGTCCCCAAGCTCGAGGTCACTGTTGCTGAGTAACATTGGTTTGATTCACTTTTCTCTTTCACTTATACTTCATTCTTCTTAATTATTAATTGGTATTGAACTAAATCACGTATTTTTAAAACCACAAATCAAATTTAATTGTTACTCGTATTTTCGAGGTAAACACCTATCTTAAAAGGATAATCTAAGAGCGATAATATAAAATATAAGGAAAAAAAAAGGCAATCTGTTATACGAAATATTTACCCAGTATTCGGAGAATAACCGTACTGCAAGAGTGTAATGTAGGCAGTCTATCCTGATAGAAGCAGACAAAGAAAAAATTTGTGAAAATGGAATCACCAAAATTTGACTTTGATATCATGCCAAAGAAGATAGCATCCTTATCCTTGCTCACTTACCCTCCTCCCTTTCCTTTCAATCAAAAATATCACAGCTTTTTTCTATTCCCTCTGTTTCTTTGGGTCTCACGCTATCAAATACTCTACTTGATCAGTGTATTTGAGTAAAAAGCTTTTTTACCAAAAAAATTAGGAAATGAGCTTATAAATGTATTACCACCGTTACAAGTTTTTTTAATTGTAGAGCACTTCAAATTTTGACACAATTTTAACTAATAATGCTATCTATATAATTTTTGCAACTTTCAAGAATACAAAATTTGTACTTTGACGCAATATTCTATTCTATTGTATTGTGTTATCATTTTAACTATTTATGTAGTAATAATTTTATCAGTCAAATAAACATGAAAAACCCTGTATCCAATTAAAAACAAGAAATTGATAAGCTCAAGATCGAACTCGTCTAAAAAGTAAAAAGAAACACTGATATATTAATGTTCCATTCCGTCTATTTTCCGATATCACAAGACTTTACAAGAAAATAACCAATGTTTTTTCTCTCAAAATCCTCGTAAAGCTTAAAAACAAATTCTTACACTTGCACAAACACAATTGAAACAAGCCATCTAACCCCAAATGATGTCTTGCTTTCAATGTACAGTCATTTCTTAAATCTAAAAATAATCTCTTCTGCTAAAACTCGAAGAACACAAAATGAGTTAGGAGCTAATAACCTATACAACTCCAGAAAATTAAAGTAAATTTTCACTATATCTTCTGTTCAAGTATGCAAACAGATTTTGCAGTCAATTGGGGTAATTGAATCTTCTCATCATGGTTAAACAACACAAACATCTGTCCTGAAATCTACAGATCCAACTTCGACCGCCCTGCTTATATGACATAAGTTTTGAACTTTAAGAAAATAAAACAAGAGAGAAAATGTTCTTCAAAAAGAAAATGTATTAGTAGCTAATGGTTATTACCATTTGGCCCCATATTGTTCATAGAGGAATTTGATTCAAATCCCATTTGAAGAAGGCTTTGGAGTTCATTGTCCCATACATTCTGCATGAGAAGTATTAGGTTTTGATTATATCATTTCTTTGAAGTCGAGTAGAATGTGAAACAAGGAAAATACTCTCAGACACTCGGTGTTTTACACCAAACCAAATAATTTAACCCTATGAGTCATATATTAAACTGAACGAAGCATCCTGCATTTATGCAGGGTCCGGGGAAAGGCCGCACGTAAAGGGGTGTGATGTATGCAGTCTACCTTGATGCAAGCCTCAGTGGTTGAGTCCTCGGCTCAAACCCGTGACCTATAGGTCACACGGAGACAACTTTACTGTTGCCCCAAGGCTCCCCTTCCCGAGTCATATATGAAACTGAGAAAGCATAAGTTTATATGCAAATTCATTTCATGTACTATTCTTGCTAAGTGTAAACATAGGGAACAGATAAGTTTTTTCTATGAAAGATCTTCGTTTATACCTGCGGCAAGGGGTGGAAAGGTGGTGTAGTTCCCGGCATACCAGTAAAACTCCCATGTGAAATTCCAGGAAAAGGAAGAGAGGAACTCATTCCAGGACCAAGACCAAGAAGAACTGCATTGCTCGTTTGCTGATGGAGCATCTACATATAAGAATAAGGCACATGAATTTTAAACTTCTTGGTAAAAACTAATATGGATCACCACAGCAATTAATTTTAAACTTACCTCTTTTGATAAAATACGATCAATATCGAAGTTCAGTTCCGGATTTACAGTAGCAAGTTTCATTGACAGGAACTGCAGCACCAAAGAACATGAATTTGGAATCAGTTTAATCAGTCTGGAAAGCTGGAGTTAAAGCGTGAACAACAAAAAGAAAATTGTTTTCTGCACAAAGAACACATTCCTTGTCCATTAATACTCATTTTGCAGGGATAACATGTGAGTGAATCTGCCTCAACTTAATCTGTTAGGCCAACCTTACTATTCCCGAAACAAAACTATGATCTATATTTGTAATCCTACAATGAAGCACCATTAGGGAATTCCTACATGCTTTAGTTGCGTCTATCTTAAACTGTGTTCTAATGGTAAGATCAAGATTCAATCTACTCAGGCACAGTAAACACGAAATCAAGAACCAATAGCTATAGTTATAAACTATCAACATATTTACCTCAACCTGCTGCTGCAGCGATTGCACGTAGTTGATAATCTCATCAAGCATCACTGCTTTCCCAGTTATCTGTTGGAATAAAATTATCAATTTTTAACCATAAATCACAAATAACCAAGAATTGAAGCGACAATAGAACAAGTAACTACCTTATTGCAGCCTGGTACTAGCTCTTGAAGCAATCTCATCCTCTCACTGATCCTTTCTCTCCTCACCTGCCAACCAAAAAAGACATTGGAGGTTCATTCAATATGTCTAAAAAGGTAAATGAGCTTAGATTGAATTGCACAATTATCTTTTGGATTTACCCTTTCGGCAAGGCTGTGGCTGTTTGTGGCTTGACCTCTTTTAGCCCTGATATGAACATAATTATCCTTAGGAGGTTCCCCACCATCAGAATCTTCCTTAACTTGTTTCCCTGCTTCCTTGCTCCTTAAATTAGAGCTATTATTTTGGTCTGTTTTGTGTTTTTTCCCGTCTTGTTCTTTTGAACAGTCTGAATTATCCCTTGATGGAGCCTTCTGCAGCTCTCCTTCGACATTCTATAGTGAAAAAAGAGCAAAAAACTAAATGGATATCTCATACTAGAATACAAAGGCGGATCCGGGATTTGAACTTGATGGTCAACCTTTAATGTTCTTGGCCGTGGAGCCACATAGCTCCAAGGGGTGTCACAACCCTTCGCCAGAAAATTACACGGTTTAGATGACTAAAAATTTTTTTTTTATGAATATATACTATGTATTGAATCCCCTTGACTTCTTCGTGTATTTACTTATTTGAATTTTGACACCTTTTAGTGAAAATTCTGGCTCCGCTATAAGTTCTTGGCATAAACTCATTGTACTTTTAAAAACTGAAATTATGAGTTCAGAAATTAGAATTTGTTGAATTTTACTGTTTTTCTCCCCACATATGTTGGATTCAATTGAAGCCATTGTTCTAAAGCTACATCCATACATCTGCTAGCATATATACTGATAATTGGAAAGACTTAAAAAAGATGACACAATACCTTGCTGACATTGGATAGAGAATGATTTCCTGAAATTTTCCTCTTCCCATTAGGAGAAGCCTCTACAGCACCTTCACCTGAAATTTGGCACTCTTCTTGGGAATGTGGACCTTTTAAGAAAGCTCCTTCAGTGGAAATCCCTCTGTTCTTGACATAGTTAGGATAACAACTTCCCCCTCTAAGCTGTTCTTGTAAAGGAAAAGTATTGACTAATTCTGAGAAACTTTCATTTCCAAAAGCAGGAATCTTGGGGACCATTTCAACAAGATTTGGATCAGATGGATAGTGACCAAAATGAGATGATTGGTAAGGCAAATTAGCAAACTCATTGTGACCAACAACTGAAGATCCTTTAAAACTCTCCTTTTGATTCAATGAGAGAAGTGGATCCCAACCAGAACCACTAAAAGGGTCAACATTTGGCATTGAAGAAGGACAATTAAAGGAAGTATCACCACCATTTCTGTGTTGTAGCCTCATATCACCATTATCCTTACTTGCCATTTTCAAGAATTAAAGGATCCACAAATTTTATTGGGAACTCAGTTCAAAAAGGCAACACCAATGTAATGTTTTTAACCAAGCCAAGAGTTTGATTGCTATTTGACAGAAAGGAAAGAACAGTGTGTTAAAAATAAAAATAAAAAAGGTAAAGTGGGGTTTGACCAAAAAGAACTGGTAGTAATATCTTGCAGGACTCAACAAGGAACAAAATAACCTTGGCAGCTTTATAGGACTGATGAGAAGAAAGAGGTTAAAGCAAAAGAAATCTCTTAATCCTACAGTCACACACAAAGGTAAAAAAGATAACAAAAATCCAAAGTAACAGGCATAAAATCTTTAACCCCCCTCTTGTTTCAAGAACCCTAGGATCAAGCCTAGTCTAATGAAGGAAAAAGTAATTACCAGAGACAAGAAAGTATGAAACTTTCAGAGCATAAAGTAGACAATGAACATAGTGAAAAGCATTGGTGAAATAACAGCTAATGAAAAGAAAGCAGATTCCTTTTGTTTATATTAAAAACAGCAGAGAGAAAGTTACAAGCTTCACATTAATCTTTAACTGTGCTTTTTAACTTCCAGCAAAATTCAATATGGGGGAAGAGAATGGGGTGTCAAAGAAAGAAAGGTTCTTGTTCTTGTTAGGGAAATATACCAATTGTCTTAGCTGAAGCTTAGAATCAAAGACAAAGCCCCACAAGTATCAAGAAAAAGAATAGACTCAAGCAGACTTTTCAAATATGTAAGCTAAAAATGACAATAAAAAGCACTAAATTCTAACCCCAATTATATAGCATACAGTAAGTAACCTGAATTGGATTTGTGATAGTACCTCCTTTTACAGAAGTTAAATTCTATTTATAGATCAAATACAACAATTATAGAGAAAGAGAAAATGATAACAAGAAGATAGTAATAAATAAAAATAAAAATAAAGGAAGAAAGAGAGAGAGAGAGAGAGAGAGTGAAAGGTGTTTTACCAGCCCAAGCAAAATGGTGACATGTATGATTTTAAAAGACATACTAACTACTGCCAACTGCTCTTACAGAAATGGTTGCTTAAATTATTACAGAACCTAATCCTTCCCTTTTCCCCCATACTTTACTCCTTGTAATTTCCTTTTCCTTTTAAAATATTGCTCTAATTCCTATACATTATGCTTCTTTTTTTAATTTCAATTAATAAATGATTTCACATTACTTACATTAGATTGGAGAGGTTATTGTTCTTCTCTTGAAGGGCAAGCTTGATAGTATATCTTTTTCTAATTTTTAACTGACACATTTGGCCAACTGTGTTTTCTTTGCTGTTACACACTCATTTTTTCTCAGTGCCAACTAACCAACCTAACAATTCTTTCTACTTAGAACTCATCTTCTTGTGTTGTGGTCCATTAAAATTCATGAGTTGTACTGTTGATTTCTGCTGTTGTGTGCTATATATGCATGTCATGGCCCACCAAATCACTTCTCAATTTTGATTGATGATACTATTTACTTACTACTCTACTAGCCTGCACTCTTACTTTATGCTTGTACAAAATATGGAGATAGGATGTGATATTCCTTACTACAACATTAAGATTGAGGGTTGAGGTTGAGGCACTAATCAATTAATCATATTCTTTACTAATTACTCTTATAATTTATGTGGTACCATTTTATCAGACTTTTGAAAATTGTGATTTAAAAAAACTCATTAACATTTATATGACTATAAATTATTTTATTATGGGTAAAAGTAAATGTTTAAAATTAATTTGTTTTTAAATATTGAAAGATAGACATTCTTTTAGGGTAAACTAAGAAGCAGTATACTTTTCTATTTTACCATTAGCATTTGATACACATTCAAATTAACTTACAATCTTCATGTCCAATAATATGAAACAAATACTAGAGTTTGTTTTACTACTCCCTTTATTCCAAAAAAATATATTCCAAGTATAAGAACCAATTATCTAGTGATGGTAGGCTATAATTACGTATTTTAGTACTTATCGCACTCTAATTTACTACACTTTTATTGTGTTTGAGCTTTAATTGCTAGTATTTTGCACTTATTGTGTGTTTTATGCCTTGTATGAGTGATTCCGAGGATGCTTCTAACTAGTTTTTCTTCTTCTTCTCTTCTTTTAATCTCATAGTTTATTAGTTGTAGAGTTTTTGGTGCTACATGAACGTTATAGTTTGGAGCTTGAATTGTTTTATTATTTTATCATATTGGTTTATTTATTCAATCTTGCGCTTAATTATTTGATTGCTTGATCACTAATTGAATACTATCTACGAATCTAGGATTGAACTCAGGAGAAGGAATTCTAGTTTGCAAATAAGATTGAGTAGAGCAAGATCTTGAACTCAGGCATCGGTAGCAGATTTGCGGTTAGGATAGGAATATACCTAATCGCCTTGCTTGATTACTATACAGGAATTATTAATACGTTCTTGTTAATCCTGATTCCATAGAAATATAGGCGTTATGTTAGCTTGAATAAGCGAGTAGTACTTCGGGAGAAGGCTACGAGTAATATTAGCCCTGTCAACCAATAAACCAGATAAATTAATTAGACAATTTAAGTCAAAGACTCAATGGGATTGTTAGCTAACCCATAACTCTAGAATATTGACTCCCATTAAATTCATGTCTAAGTTTGCCAATTCGTTCCTTTAATCTCTTAGTTTGTTACTCTAGATTAGTTTAAGTTAATTATTCAGGCTTTAGGATTCGTTTTAATAGATTAATTGTTTGGGTTGAATTTAGTTGATAATTAATCACAAGTCCTAGTGGGTACGATATCTGGACTTACAATCCTAATTACTTGTCGATCACGTATACTTGTTGTACGTTAGGAAGCAACATCTAGTTAGCTTTTTGACATAGATTTGGTTGAAGTATGAAAAAATAATTTTTGAAGTTGTTTTGAAAAATAATTTTTGGAAGTTGAAATTGTGTTTGGACATGCATTTTATTTGAAAAAAAATAATTTTTATGAGTGGAAGAAAAATTTTCACCCAAAATCTAGCCTAAACTAGATTTTGGAAACTTGAAAAAAAAAATTCAAAAGCTGATCATAATCTATGACCAAACAATGTTTTGAAAAAAAATTGTCAAAATCTATGGCCAAACATGAGCTTAATCTCGACATGAATTTGGTACAATAGTCTTTTACATAGTTAAAATTAACTCAAAATTTCTTTAGCATCTTAATATCAAAAACTTGCGACTCCATGAATACTATTAAGAATAGTATGTACAGTCAAACTTTTCTATAATAGCGTATTTGTTCCGAAATATTTTGGATGTTATAGCGAAGTGTTGTTATATAGAACATACTTCCTCTGTTTCAGTTTATGTGAACCTATTTCCTTTTTTGTCCGTTCCAAAAAGAATGATCCTTTTCTAAATTTTGTAATAATTTTGCTTAAACTTACAATTCTACCCTTAATGAGAAGTTTTTATAACCACACAAATACTCTGGGCCCTTTTTGCTTTTATTTAGGACCACAAATTCCAAAAGTCTTATTTTTTCTTAAACTCCGTGCCCAATCAAATAGGTTCACATAAATTGGAACGGAGGGAGTACATTATAACATAACATACAAATTGATTCCATAAAAAAACTGCTTTTTATAGTAAATGACAGTTATATAGCGATACTGTAAGAGAGGTTTGTATCATTAAAATAGAATAGAGTTGGAATTTTTGCTTCTCAATAGTACAATATTGAGTTTAAAAGAATTTTAATAAAATGGAAAAGGGGCAATGGGGGCCCAAGCGGTGTGGAAAAGAAGCTTGCTTTGATTGATGGGTAGAGAGTAAAGTGTGAGGTTTAAGATTGTACAAATTGAAAAGATAGTGGTGCTGTTGACAAAGTACTGAATATAACTCTCTGGTTTCCATTCATTTTATTTTGTTTGTTAATTGATGTGTCAGTCCTATCTTTTTTCCTTTTCTAAAAGAAAATTAATTGTTTTTAAGAAATAATTGCTTCCCTTTGGACCTTTGGGGTCCTCAGAACAGAACATAAGGAATTAGGGAATCTAATCCCCCATAATTTTACCTCATTGTCCTAGTACTGTTTCCAGCTGTAGGGCTGTCTTTAATATTTTTTCATTTATAGCCACTGTACCTAATGTCCTAACCTTAAACTTCGGTCAAACCATGTTGTCCAGTCAACACTCTCTTAAGGCTGTAATCTTGCTGGAAATTCAAGATTTTTCCTAAATTCACGCCTTATTAGCCCCTAGGGGTGCATTCGAATCGGTTTATCGATAAATCGAATCGATTATTTGTTATCGGTTTTGTCGATATCAGTTTATCGATTTATCGATTTCGATTTCGATTTCGAAATTTTCCTTATCGAGTTATCGATTTCGATTTCGATTTTGTCCTCTTCGGTTATCGGTTTATCGATAAACTGATAAGATATACTAAAAAGACAATTTTTTTTACCCTTATTCTATAATACCCTTTCCTTTACCCTAAGTCCCTAACCCTATTATTTCCTCTACCAAATTTAAGGAATGATCATATTTAAAGCTCAAGGGAATGAAGTTCAAATTAATGGAAAACAAAATTAGCCATGATGATTTGTATTTTTTTTTAATATACTGTTGGAGTGTTGGTGGCATACATTTGATCCCTTACTTTAGTTTCGTTGCATGTGCTTGTTGACACAATTTTTATGTTATAAACAGTGTTCGTTTTATTTTAGCTTCTTTTTGTCCATATTAGTTAGGCGTGTTTATAGCGATATACCTTCCGTGGAATCCCGCAAATTTTCTTATTGGTGTAATCTATAACCGAATCGATAAGCCCCAAAAATCGATAAATCGAAATCGAAAAAATCGAAACCTTATTGAAACGATAATGATAAGCATATGTACAAATCGATAATCGATAAATAATTATCGATAAGGGTCAAAATCGAATCGATAAATCCAATGCACACCCCTACTCACAACCCCCCCCCCCCCTTCCAATTCTTGATTCAAACACCGACAACAATATACCAAGTGTAATTTCATAAGAGATCAAAAGAAAGTAATATATACGCAGACCTTATCTTTACTTTATGTGAGATAGAGAAATTATTCCCGCTAGATTTTAGACTCAAAGAAAAAATATAGCAAGTTTGAGCAAAAACAGTAGTGAAAGCGCCATATTGAAAACGCTGGAGAACATATAACAAAATTATAAGGTAGCCAACGTAAAGGAAACAACATGTAATATGTAGCATGAAAAATTACAGAACGGGTTAATATGAGAATAATACTAATACTACTGATAAGTAGAAGGAGGAGCATAAAAGGTGCTCTAAACTGTCATCATGCCTCTCCCACAAGAAAGTGAGACATCGCTCCTTGACTATCTAGTAACATTTTACCTTAGTCATCGACCTCCATACCCTCCTATCTAGAATCAAGTTTTAATTCACTTTGGACCAATATTTGATTATTGATTCATGAGTATAAATCTTCTTGGGAATTTTTCTTTTACATCCGATATTTATATAAAATCAATAATTATAGTAACATTTTTCTTTTATAGTATAAATTTTTAACACTTCAGAATGATCAATTTATATGTAGTAGTCCAAAGTTAAATTAATGCAAATATCAGGAGCAAATGACAACGATAGCACACGATTATCCATGAACTTAATTAGCTCCATTATCTACAGGGATAATTGGTTAATGTCTTTAGCTTTAGATTCTAAGCTTCTGATCTTGTACTTGTGATACAGTTATAAGATTTTAATGGATGATAATACATGATTAAATTATCCTGTGTTTTCATATTATGTGGATCATAATTAAGAATCAGCCTAATTTTTTTTCGAAATCCCACACATTAGTTCAGGAATTCTTAATTCTGTCACGGCAATTACAGTCAGACCTCTCTATAACAGCATCCCTATATAACAATACTTTACTATAAA